AGAGAGAGAGAGAGAGAGAGAGAGAGAGAGAGAGAATATCTCAGTAGGGGGGTCAAAAGTGGGAGGTCGTGACCCTGCTGACCCCGTGGGAGTGAAGATCATCAATCAGCTAGAGGCTGGACAGAGCAGCAGGAGGGGACAAGCGCACACACACAGACACACAAACACAGGCATACCTAGATACTGTAACAATTGCTGGGCATATAGCACAATGAAAGTGCATTTAAATGGACTAAACAAGTAATTGAATCAGACATCAAGCATTTATTTTACATTCCAGTCCCCCCTCCTCCTTCTCAGCCACACACCCACACGGCACACTGTGGTATCTATAAAGGACCGCCAGAGGTTTGCTGTTGGTAAATGTGTCTGTGTTTTCTGTGTTTATATATATATATATATATATATAGTTTTCAGCCCAGCGCTTCTGTTTCATTCTGTTTTTAACAATCTACTTACTATAGTAAACAAACAAACACACACACATGCACGCACACTGCCACAAATTCCACTATCTGGATTATCAGCCAGCACTTGCAGGGCGACAGGGCATGCTTTTTCTATCTCCTCCTCCTCCCCCTCTTGCAGCCTGTCCTGTTGATCAATGAGGAAGTTCTTGGGCCTCAACTATTAATCAGAGCCTATCGGCTATCTGTCCGCCGGGCCAACCAATCAAAGCCCTACGACAGCTGGGCCATGAAAAATGTGGCCCAGTGGACTGAGGGGAGGCTGGAGAAGTTGGGGATGAGGGGGAGGGGTTGGTGGCAGTGGGGTCGCAGAGAAGAGGAGGGAGGTGAAGGAGCACTCTATCTGTTCCAAGTCAGATCAGGCTGCACGACTGCACTTAATGCACTTACAGTTGATTCTGTACATGCTGATGGCTGCCACACACACACACCTACACGAACATGATGAAGCACATAGCTTTCATGACACACAGAATGATTCATTTCAATCAACACACATTTTCTTCCTGATTTACATTTACTTCAGACAGAGACATTGTGCAGCCATACAGCACCCACTGTGTTACCACTTCTTGTTTTCATCTGGTGGCAGCCAGCGTGATAAAATCTGTCAAAAGGTACGACAAACACAGCGTTTTTATGGAGCCTTTGCAGCAGAAAGCTCCCCAGTGAGGCCTGTTTGTTGATCTGTTGTTTAATAACAAGGCCTTGAAGCTTCATCAACGCACTGCCATCCCTCTTCTGCATAATCACCATGCTCACACTCATCCATTCACATCTTATTGCCATGATTAGATTACATCTAATGCTATTACATCACTCCCATCTCTCTCCCTCCTCTTCACTCCACCTCTCTTCCTCATCATAGATTTCTTGCAGATCTTATTAGTGTGTGATGCGGACCAGGTCTCTACTCTTTTGGATTTATGAACCCTCAGACTTCTCTCCTTTAATCTCTCTCCTCCTCCACTCCCTTCCTGCATCTGTCCATCTATCATTCTCAGGGTTGGCTTGGGCGGAAGAGTATTAATCCCTCCATCCCATCTCTCTCTCTTCTCTGGACAGATGAGGAGGTGGAGGAGGAAGATGGGGAGAGAAGGAGGGGGAGGGGTCGAGGGAAGGAGACCTCAGATTACTTTTCATAACATTTCTGCACCATTGTGGGGGGGGGAATGAAGAAGTGCTGCAGGTGATGTATGCAGATTTATTCTGTGATAGGTCATGATGTCTTCAACAGGTATGAGAAGGAGCTCAGAATGTTGGAGGGGTGAGTGTGTGTGTGGGGGGATGCTAAACAACTTAGTTTGGTACTGTGTGTGTGTATTGTGGTCACCTTTCTGCATGTTTATCACTTGAGATCTAGTGTGGATATATATGTATATGTTATGAGGTTTATGCAAAGTGTGGGTTTCTTCAAAAGGGCAATAGAATCTGCATCTCATTACCTGTTGATGCCCGCCGAACATGCACACACACTTCAAACACACACACGTGGTATGCTCAGCAGAATTGAGTGGGCTCTGGGAAATCAATTAAACTGATCGGGATATTTAATGTCCCTTTCTTGCAGGCCAAGTTCTGCAGAAAAAAAAAAGAAAAGAAAAAGAAATTTTGTGTTAAGAAAAAAAAAAGAAGCTTCGACCAGCTGTGGATGTAAAGCCGACTCTCTTCTTCCCTTCGGCCCCTCCTCTACCCATGCAAGCCATGCAGTGACAGGTAGATTAAGGGGTGTGATAGATGCCCCCCTCTCTGTGGCTCCCTCCTCTCCACCACCCCCCTTTTCCCTCCCCTCCATCCATCATGGCGGCTGGTGTAATTGCGGCTGCGTGGGGCTGGCAGAGGGAGCTTCCATCCATCTCCTTAACAACAAACAGTCACGAGGACGGATGGCGCTGCTCTCCCCAGTTAATCTCCATCTATAAGGGGGTAGGGTGGGGACCAGGGGTGGGGGGGTGGAGGTGGTGGAGGAGAAGGAGGGGAAGAATGGAAGAGAAGAAAATAACTGAAGGGAATAAAGGTGGTTTTGGCCTTTAAAGACAAAACATATGGCAAAGCAGAAGGCAGAGGGAACCAGGGAATGGAAATATGGTAAGATGGCAGCGGGGACGTGAAGGAAGATGAATGACACGGGTTGAGGGGACTGAGAGAAACTGGGGGGAAAGTTTGCAAACAGGCTGCAGGAGCAGGTCGATAAGGGCGGATTTGCTTGGCCAGCATGCCAGAAGAAAACTGGAGAGAGATGGAGGAACACGGGCAAGGAGGGAGGGAGGGAGGGTAAAAATTTATGTCCACACAGCCAGACAAAAAAGAAACTAGATAGGCATGGCCTCATAAAAATGCACTCTGCACCCACTAACTGCACCCCACTTTTACCTCTCTCTTGTTCCTTTCCTCATCCCCTCATTCTCAAAGCAGGCGGCAAAGGCTTACGGTTGTCTGATGTTTTGGGTGGTTCAGTGTGGTTGCCAGAGGTCGTGGCAGCCATATTTTCTTAATGGTGGAGTCACTGAAGTCAACAAGGCTGGGTGGCCTTCTCAAGTCGAGTAAAACTAGAGTTTTGTTGCGAAATGGGGCAGCAGCAACAGCAGCAGTTGCTGGAGGTGGCTGATTTTCACCTTGCAGATGATGAAAAGGATGGACTGGAATTTTAAAAGTGTCAACAGCTGGCAATGTCACATTTGTTTTTGCAGCAGCAGCTGCATTTAGCTGAGAACAGGAAGAGGAAAGTGGGAGGAAATTCTGCTGGGAACTTGATGAGTTTACAGACAAACCCTCTTTCTATTTTTCCTGTGTCACACAAGAAGAACATAAAGACACATGCGCTCTCACATTCAAACAGTTCCACACACAACTCTGCCTGTTGTTTCCTGTTTTCTAGCCCTGGGCATCACCTGCAGTGAGGCCCAGATTAGAAGAGCACCACCTTGACAGTAACCCTCCAGCACGCAAGCAAACAAGCAAGCGAGCACACACATTTACATACACACAAACACGTATATGCATTCCTGAGTCTACTGCAAGCACGTGCACCCAACAGGCCTTGTGCAGTGGAGAGAGCGCCTGAGCCTTGACAGGGAATGACAAATAACTGCAGCAGCCCTGACATGGCGAATGGTCCCACAGTGAACCTGCCTGACTGATTTTCAGCTCTTTGGTGTAGAGAGCGAGCCCATTCTTTACACAAGGTCCCCAACAACACAAGGCCAACACGTAAAGCTGAATTAACCTGGGAGTCAGACAAGAAGCCAATACTACGTTTTTATCAGCCACCGCGCATGCAGTCGCACTGTCTGCCAAACATGGACTGAATTACTGCACAAGTGATAGCATGTGACCTCATGTTCAGACTGGGTTTTAAATAATTATGCTGAAAATGTACACTCATCCAAACAGCATGTTATAAGAAGAACAAGGTGGGGATCCTCTAAAGGCAGCAAAAGGAAATCTAGTTTATGGCATACGAGTAAGGCTTTTGTTTTGTTGACACGCATGTATAGAAAACTTTTGCATAAAGATTAATATTGCTTTAATCTGATCTATGAAAAGTCTTTAATCATGTCATGATTGTCAGGAATGGAAAAACTAACAAAGTAGCGATAGTAAGTCATCTATTTTACATTAAGAAATGATTAAGCACAAACCCACAAAGACTTTTGTGCACATTTGGAAGAGGTTGTGTAAACAACCCAGTGAATCGCACATATAGTAGATGAAAAAAATTCAATTAAATCTTATTTATATAGAACGAAATCTCAACAACAGTCACTTCAGGGCGCTTTATATTTTAAGGGAAAGACCCCACAATGTTACAGAGAAAACCCTGACAATCAGATGACCCCTTATGCACACTTGGTGACAGTGGGGAGGAAAAACTCCCTTTTAAAAGGAAGAAACCTCCAGCAGAACCAGGTTCAGGGAGGGGCGGCCACCTGCTTCGACCGGTTTGCGGAAAGGGGAGAGACACAGGACAATCTATTCTACATAGTAGAGGTGATGCAACTTTTGTTGTTGTTTTATCAAGCTGATAAAGCAACAATATAGCAAAGATACAATCCTAACTACAAGAGCTAATTTACTGTTTCAATGTTGTAATCTTGTTTCACGATGTGTTGTTTTAACGCACACATTTTTAACTCTTTATATTAACAAACCCACGTTATAATACCTATAAGTATTTTTTTTATTATTATTAATATTATTAATTATTCCAACATGATTATCAACTGCATATTGGCTCATGGTTAGTAATTACAATGCACTTTCTAAGGCTTTTTCAGGACACACACATATTCATCAACTCAATAAC